GAGTTTGGCCCGAGCCTCAGCATATTCAGCAGTCGTCTTGGGATGGGCAGCTACTGGGGGCCACAGGCCACAATCCACAAGCCCCGCCGCCGCTGCCCGCCCGCCGCCGCCCCGCGCCGACCCGCCGCGCCGCCGCCTGCCGCGCCCGCCGGCCGCCGCCGCCGCCGCCGCCGCCCGCGCCGCTCAGCACCGCGCCTGCCGACGCCACTCGCTGCCAAAACCGCAGCCGCAAGCCGCAGTCGCTGCCGCCACCGCCGCCGCCGCGCCGCCCCCGCCGCCGCCGCCGCGCCGCCGCTAACCGCCGCCGGCAGCCGCCGCCGCAGCCGCCGCCGCCGCCGCCAAGTGTACTCTGTATTGTTTTTTAACAGGGATGGTGTGTGTAGTGTGGGGGGGGGGGGGGGCGGGGCACGCATAGGGCTGGCTGCCCGCCATATTCAGAATTTTTTCGGAGGCTGCAGATTGTGTTTTGGATTGTTTTTTACAATGGATGGTGGGGGGGGTCGGCATGGATCCTGGTTGGCCCCCAGTCGCCTGGGGGAGGGGGTGTTTATTAATAGGGAACAGTGATAAACCCCTCCCCGAAGGGAGAGAAGGGGGTTGGAAGAGGAAACTCTCCAGACCACCGACGCCCAGAGGGCTGGTGGCGAATTCCCAAGGCATCTTCAAAATATCAGAAAAAAATCATTGGATGTGGCAGCAACGCCCGCCGCCCAAGATCTCTCGTGGGGTGCTCTCGTGGCCTGCGGGGGCCGTCCTTACCTCGCGCTGGAAGGGCCTGGCTCTCTTGGGACCTCCTGGAGCGCTCTTGGGCTGCCAGGGGCCCCGCAAGGGGCTGGGGAGCCCTCGGGGCTCCTCCTCCTCCTCCTCCTCCTCCTCCTCCTCCTCCTATTCATTCTACTCCTCCTACTCCTCCTTCCTCCTGCTGCCTGCTGCAGCTGCTCCTCCTCCCTCCCCTTCCCTCACTCCCCCCCCCTCTCCTCCTCACTTCCTCTCCTCCTTCATCCTCCCCCTCCCCCTTCCGCCCTCCTTCCCCCTTCCCCCACCCCCCCCTCACTACCCCCCCTCCTCCTCCCCCCTCCTCCCCCCCCTCCTCCTTCCCCGCCTCTCCCTCCCCCCCCCCTCTCAAGCAGTAGCGAAGCGCCCTGGTTCGCCTAGACAGTTTTCGATTCCCGGGCGAAGGCAGGCGGGCGTTACCAGGGGGGGGGAGGGAGGGAGGCCAATGCTGTCACGCTTCGCGCCAGCGCCATCTGGGAATGCTGGATCTGTCACGGCAGAGCGCGCACACCTACGGGGACAAGGACTCCGATGAATTCTGCAGTAGATTGAGAATGCAGACGTCCAATCGTTCGACCTTCAATTTTTCACCATCTGCTCGCTCTTGTCTGTTCTCTATCCCCTGCTCTCCAGCTCTCTGCTTTCGACGCCCCCCTCTGTCCGTCAGTCACGTTTCCTACCTCTGCCCTCCACCTAGCTACTCCGTATTCCTTGCACCCTTCTCTGCGTGCGTTCTACTCTCTGCCCTCTACGTCCCAACATCTACTTGCACAGGCGGGCGTACTGCGCATACGCGTACGACACGCATGTCGACAAAAACGTGTGTGTGTCTTGTGTGTGTGTCGTGTGTGTGTGTGTGTGTCGTGTGCGTGTGCGTGTGCGTGTGCGTGTGTGTGTGTGCGTGTGCGTGTGCGTGTGCGTGTGCGTGTGCGTGTGTGTGTGTGTGTGTGTGTGTGTTGTGTGTGTTGTCTTCTATTTGCAGCTCAGTGCGTCCCGCTCCCTAGCTCCTCTTCTCGCCAGCGCCCACGGGTCTCCTCCTCCTCCTCCTCCTCCTCCTCCTGCTCCTGCTCCTCCTCCTCCTCCTCCTCCTCCTCCTCCTCCTCCTCCTGCTCCTCCTGATCCTCCTGATCCTCCTGCTCCTGCTCCTGCTCCGCCTCCTCCTCCCCCTCCTCTTCGAGAATAAGGCCACCCGGAGGTGGAAGAACTCTCACCGGAGCACTGCTCGGGCCCAGCCGGGGCGCCCGCCGAGACGTCGGGCAGCCGCGCCCGCCGCGGCCCGGCGCCGGCCGTCGGGGCCCAGAGGGGCGCGCACGGCGGAAAAAGGGGGCAGCCTCGCCCGCCCTGAGATCTGGACGCTGCGGTTTTGGAGAGAGCGTGTTCTGCCGCCGCTGGCGGAGAACAAGGGGGGGGGGGTCCCTGGGGGTTCCCAACCCGTCCCCCCCCCCCCCTCGAAAACCGCGGGGGGGGGGTCACAACCGGTTTCGAACCCCCCCCTCAACCATAACCCTCAAGCCATCATGAAAAGGATAGGGGATCACTGCCCGTTCGAAACCCCTCCCCTCCCCTCGCCGCTGGGCAAACGACTCCAGCTCTCGGACAAGGGCAACAGTGGTGGAGACCAAGCTGGAGCCGCGGGACAGTGTGCGACATAGGACAGCGGTGGAGAACGGTGGTGGTGGGACAGTGGGTGAGGACAGTGGGACAGTGGTTGGGGACAGTGGGGAGAACGGTGCAACGGTGTGAGGACGTGGTGGGACAATGGGACAGTGGTGGGACAGTGGTGGGGACAGTGGGACAGTGGTTGGGACGGTGGTGGCGGGGACAGCGGTGTGGGGACAGTGGGACAGTGGTGGGGACGGTGGTGGCGGGGACAGCGGTGTGGGGACAGTGGGACAGTGGTGGGGACAGTGGGGACAGTGGAACGGTGGTGGGGACAGTGGTGAGGGCGGTGGTGAGGACGGTGGTGGGACAGTGGGACAGGGGCACAGTGGGGATAGTGGTGGGGACGGTGGTGGTGGGGACAGTGGTGTGGGGACAATGGGACAGTGGTGGGGACAGGGGACAGTGGGACAGTGGTGGGGACGGTGGTGGTGGGGACAGTGGTGAGGGCGGTGGTGAGGACGGTGGTGGGACAATGAGACAGTGGTACACTGGGGACAGAGGTGGAAACAGTTGTGGGAACACTGGGACAGCTCAGTGGGACAGTGGTGGGGACACTGGGACAGTGGTGGAGCTGGTGGTGGTGGGGACAGCGAGACGGCGGTGGGGACAGTGGGACAGTGGTGGGGACAGTGGGGACAGTGTGGGGACGTGGGGACAGTGGGGGAGGTGGACCGTGGTGGGACAGTGGCTGTACAGTGGGGACAGTGCACAGTGTGGGGGCACTGGTGGGGACAGACGGGGGGGGGGGGGGAAAAGTGGGAGAGTGGTGGTGGGGACGGTGGTGCTCGGGACAGCGGGTGAGGGCGGAGGTGAGGACGGTGGTGGGGACTCGGGAGTCTTTGCCGGCGGTGAGGTGGGGGGGTGTTCGAACCAGTAATGACCCCCCTCTCTGTTTTCCGGGGGGGGGGGGAGGGGGCGGGACATGTTAGGGGGGAAGGGGGTTTTGCCGGGGGAAGGGAGGGGGAGGGGGTGGGTGGGGGTCGAGCAGGGGGGGGGAGGGATTTTCGGGGGGGGCGCGGGGGACCCCCGGATTCCGGAGGAAGGGGGGGGTAATTTTCCGCAGTGAAGCAGCGGTGGATCACTCTCTCTCCGATTTTTGTGGCACTGGGCGTGTTTGCCCAGGCTCGGGCCCGGGACCATCGCAGATCGGCCCAGCTCGAGGCATGCCGCAGAAGGACGGGGTCCAGGGCTCCGATCGCGACTTGTCACGGTGCTGCAGTTCTGTCCGTGATGTCAGATCTCAGGGGTCGACCTTCTGGGTCGGGGGTGGACAGACCTCCTGCCCTGACACGCCGACTAGGGAACTGGCCGTTTTCGGTTCGCGAGAGGGCGCCGCGGCCGTCGTTTTTGCGTGCCCAGGTCCGTCGGTTTCCGCCCCAGGCCCCTGTCGCTAGGGGGAGGTCTGCCAGAGGGAGGTTGGTCCACCGCCGGCTGGGCGCCCCCCGCAGCACCCGGCGGCCGCGCCGGAGAGCAGTGCCAGGGGGCCGGCGGGGCGCCCACGGAGCAGGAGCGTCGGCCAGCCAGGGCGGGCGCCCTGGAAAGCCAGCGGGGCGCCTCGCACCTCGCAGTGCGGGCGCCGCTGGGGGGGAGGTGAGCAAGACTGAGGAGGAGGAGGAGGATGAGGAGAGGAGGAGGATGAGGAGGAGAGGAAGGAGGAGAGGAGAGGGGAGGAGGCATGGGGGGGGGGGAAGGGGGGGGAAAGGGGGAAAAAGGAGAAGGAGGGGGGGGGAAAAGAGGGGAAAAGGAGGAGGCGAGGAGGAGGAGGAGGAGGAGGAGGAGGAGAGAGTAGGAGCAGGAGGAGGAGGCGGGAAAAAGGAGGGGAGGAGGAGGAGGAAGGAGGAGGAGGAGGCGGAGGCAGAGGAGAGGCATGAGGAGGAGGCAGAAGGCAGAGGAGGAGGAGAGGAGAGTGGAGGAGGAGAGGAGGAGGAGGCATGAGGAGGGGGCAGGAGGCAGGAGAGGAGGGGAGGAGCAGGAGAGGAGAGAGGAGGAGGAGGAGGGAGGAGGAGGAGGAGGCATGAGGCAGGAGAGGAGGCAGGAGGAGGAGGCCGGGGCAGGAGGAGGAGGAGGAGAGGGGGAGAGGAGGAGGAGGAGGAGGAGGAGGAGGAGGAGGAGGAGCGGGCTGGCCAGGGCGAGCGCACGGGAAAGCAGGCGGGCGCCCCTCAGTGCAGGCTCCTGGGGGAGGTGGGCAAGGTGGCCCACTCGCTGGTCTGAGCATCTCGGTTGCCCCCAGGCCACGTGCTCAGCAGCGCTGTCGGCCCGAATCGAGTCGACGGTGGCCTGCAGCGAAGCGCGTCTCCTCTCACAGAGGGGGGTACATTATGATGATAGGTTGCTTTAGTTCTTGTTGGTGGCACTGGCGGATGATAGGCCGAACCTGGCAATAGTAAAGCTAGCCTAGCCTAGCTGGTGGAAGTGTGGCCAAGCCGACCGAAGCAAAAGCAGGACCCCTGAGACATGCCCACGCAGAAACCGCGGCGTCCCCATCCTGCAAGGTCAGCGGGGCGATCGGGACCTTCCCGCTAGAGCGGACGCGACAGGCGGGGGTGGCCGCCGCATCTCCCCAGGAGCTGGTCGCGAAGTTCAGGGACTGGGTCCTCCAGACGGACCCCGCGTCGAGGACCGAGCCTGGGCGGTCGACGATCGACGGCTGCGATTCGGGGGGGCTCGCACAGGCGCGAGCGGAGGCAGAGAATGCAGCGGCAGTCAATTTAGCAGCAAGCACGAGCCAGATATGGCGCTCTCTCTCTCTCTCTCTCTCCCTCTTCCTCGCTTCTTCCTCTTCTCACGCATGTGGCACGCAAGTTCCTCTTTCAGACCACGGTTCAGTGCAAAAGGTTGCATGTCGCATATCGGTTCGCGTGGTGTTCCTTGTTTGCCAGGCGACTCTCTGATTCGCGCTGCGGTCGAGGCCGAGTCGGTGCGAGCCTCTGTGGTCGCGGCCCCTCTTCCCTCCTTCCTCAAGCCCAAAAACGGAGACGCAATGTTCCTACAGCTAGGCCCGGGCTGCCCAGGATGGACTCAGGGGGGTCCGTGGAGACTTTGGGGGGTCGTCTGCGCCAGGGTGGCAGCTTCTCCGAAGCTCTGCCGAGTGTCTCGCACATCCAGAGGTCGGCGCCTGCGGCAGGCTCGCTTCACCCAGCAGGACGTTCGGGCGGCCTCCGAGCCTGCGAGGCTGCCGGCTCTCTTTCGCGGTGCAGTGCTCTGCTCGTGGCGTCGGCCGCCTCGGCGGTTTGTGCAGCTGCAGGTCCGATGCCTGTGCCCGTCTCTGGCGACTTGCTGAAGGCCAACAAGTGCCTGGATAGCTTTGCAATGCGTTCCTTGGTAACGCCTTCCGGAATCGTACCGCACAGATGCCCACCCAGCGAACCTGATCGAGGGGAACATTTCCTCAACGCCAGAAGCGTCCACAATCACAACGCCTCCCTGGCGTCTCTTGCATGCCCTCGACCAGTGCGCAGCATCATGGTTTCAAGGGCCGGCGTGCGGAACGCTGGGTTGCCCCTCCCGTCGAATCTGCGCCCAGGCGGCGCGAGAGAGAGGGCAGTGGACCGGCGAGCGGAGGGCGGCAGGGGGCAGAGACGCGGTGGTTGGAGGTGTGTGGGGGGGGGATCCAGGGGAGGCCGAGGAAGAGGAGCAATCAAGAGGAGGGCAGCAGCGAGGAGGAGAGGGCGGGAGGAGGACGCGGAGGCGGAGGCGGCGGAGGGCAGCGGAGGGCGGCGGCGGCAGCGGGAGCCGCAGCACCAGCGCAGCAGCGGGCAGCGGCAGCAGGCCTCCCCCCCCCCTGTGGCCGCCGCGCGCCCTGCGCTGCCCCGCCGCGCGCCCCCGGGGAGGAGGTCAGCCCACGGGTGCAGGGCCGTCGGGAACAGGAGCCCCGCCCTCCCGCGGGGAAGAACGGCTGACCTGAGCATGAGCTTTCGGCGATGGGCCGACCTCCCACCACCACCACAGGCAGGAGAGACAGGAGGAGGAGGAGGAGGAGGAGGAGAGGAGGAGAAGGAGCAGAGGAGGAGGAGGAGGAGGGGGGAGGAGGAGGAGGAGGAGGAGGCAGGAGGAGGCAGGAGGAGGAGGAGGAGGAGGAGGAGGAGGCAGGAGGAGGAGGAGGAGGAGGAGGACCTTCGCATCCTCCCTCCTCCCCATCCTGTGCATGGTGGCGGAAGTGGGAGATCGGCCCATCGCTCGGAGGTCGCGCAGGAGCTCCAGCCTCCCCTGGGGAACAGTGAGCTCTGCCCTCCCCCGGAGGTTCGCGCGGATTGCTCGCATCGACGCCGGCGCCCCTGGCGCCGCCTCCGGCGCCCCCCCTGGCGCTCTCCGCGCGCCATGGAATGGGGGGGGGGGGGGCAGCGGCGATCCGAGAACTCCGCGCGGACCTCCGACATCTGCCGCTTCTGCTGCCCGTTTGTGCTCCCGCTCCCGCCTGCCTCTCCGGGTGCTGCCTCTCCGCGGAGGGCGCGTCGGCTGGGGGAGGGGGGGGGCACCAGGGGACCCCCGAGGCCCCGTGCAGGGCGGGCCACGAGAGGAGTCGGCAGCTGCAGGGGAGGCGTGTGGTCCCCACGGTTCGGCAGCGCCCGGCAGGGCTGGCCGGGCTGGGCTGGTCGGGGTTGCGCCCACGAGGGGGCTCGGTTGGGCGTGGGCTGCCGGCTGGGACCTCGAGGGGGCGAGGCGTGGCAGCGGGCGCCTGCACTCAGAAAGGCTGGAACCAGGGGCTCCCACGGGGGCGCGGTGTTCTTCGCGCTTCGCGGTCCTCGTTCCTTCTCCCCCTCCTCCTCGTCCTCCTTTCCTCCCTTTGGGGGGGCGGCGCGAGAGCGCGAAGTTATTCGCGCTTCGCGTTTCGCGGAGCGGGAAGCGCGAAGTTGGGAGCCCCAGGGAACTGGCTGAGGGGAGTCAGGAGGACGCTTGGGACAACGGCGGTTGACCTTCGGGGGGGCCTCCTCGTCGCCATGGCCGGAAGCAGATCGGTGCGTTTGGACTCCGGGACGGGTCCATGGACCGAATCTGAGTTGCCGCCGGCGCAACTCCAGATTTCCGACGATCTTGTGTGTTCAATCCTGGCGTTGTTGTTTCCCCGACCCTCCTGCGTGCTGGATTCTCGTTTTGAATGGAGTGCCGAGGTCTCCATTCCTCCTCCTCCTCCTCCTCCTCCTCCTCCTCCTCCTCCTCCTCCTGCTCCTGCTCCTGCTCCTCCTCCTCCTCTCATTTCCTCCTCATCCCATTTCTTCCTCCTCTTCATCCCTCTCGCGTCTCCCCTCTACATTCGTTCGAAGTGCGAGACCGTCGCTACTTTCGTGGGCTCCCGCGGGGCCCCGCGTCGTGGAGTTGTGCGCAGGCTCGGCCGAGGCCTCGCGCCGCGCCCTGCTGATGCCACTTCTGGGTGCTCCTGCGCACTGCGGGCCCTTCCGCATGCTCGTTCGCGGTGAGCGGCCCGGGGTACAGTCGCCACACGTCTAGAGAGAAGGCCGGAGAGGTAGGAGGACGTGGCCGCAGTGAGCGGCCCAGGAAGCGGCCTCCCCTCGCCCTCCACCTTCCGCACCTTCCGCGCGGCAGGTTCCACGCCGCGGCGGCCGCCACCGCGGCCGCCACTGCGGCTTCCGCCGAGGCCGCAGCAGCGGTTTCGGCGGCGGCGGCGGCCGCCGCGGCGCGGCACCTGCCGCGCGGAAGGTGCGGAAGGTGGAGGGCGAGGGTCGATCAGAGGCTGGAGCTCAGAAGGGACACGTCTGAGCGTCTGCCGGGGCTTTCGGTGCACCCGGGTGCTGAGCCTGCTCCTTATCCGCCCGAGCTCTCGGCTTCGCAGCTCGGCGCTCGCGTCGGTTCCCGGGGACGTGCCTCGATTTCGCGGCGCAGCCACGTGTCTGGAAAGGGTTGGGTGCGTCGCGGAGTAGCTTGGATTTCGGCCCCCGGGGGCCGCTCCCGGGCCGCGGGCCACCAAAAGCCTGATCGGGGGCGAAGGCTCGACTCCGGGGGAGGGGCCGGGGCGGGGCCTCTTTTGGGAGCCTCTCGGGGGCCTCGCGGGGTCCTCGCAGGGCCCGCATGGGCGCCCCCTCGGGGCCGAGGAGGGGGCGTGTCCGACTCGGGCTCCCCGCTTGAGACCTCGCTCGGAGCTGCCCTCGGGCCCTCGTCTGGGGCCGCTCTGGGCGCCCCACCGGGCCGGCGCGGGGCCCCCCTCGGGGCCCCGGCCCGCAGGGCGCGGCGAGGCCTCCTCGGACGCCTGGGCTCGGGCGCTTCCCCTCGGGGAGGGGGCCCCCTCGCTTTCCCTCGCGCGCCTCCGGGGTCGGCGGATTGGAGCATCCTGAAGATGTGCAGTCGGGGCCCTGAAGAAGGGACCCTTTTCGTTGGGGAGGGGCCCCGCGTTCCTTGAGTGTTTCGCAGCTTGCCTCAGGCTTTCCTTGTGTCTTCGATCGGAACTCGAAGTTTCACTTATGGAAAATACAAGGGGGCCTCGCTCCTTCTTTTGGGGCTCCTCAGGTCAAGGCCCCGACGGTATTGGGATCAGTGGGGGCGCTGTTGGGGCCATTCGTGAGGCCCTGGCGGGCTGGCCTCCGTGGGCCTGCTGGGTCCTCCTCCTCCTCCTCCTCCTCCTCCTCCTCCTCCTCCTCCTCCTCCTCCTCCTCCTCCTCCTCCTCCTCCTCCTCCTCCTCCTCCCCCTCTCCTGCGCGCCTGCCCCGGGCCGAGCGGCGGGGAGGGCCTCATTGGGGGGGCCTGCTGCGGCCGCCCGCCTGCGCGGGCCCGGCGCCCGCCGGGCCGTGGCAGGGGCCGCGGTCGCCGCAGAGGGTGCCAGCACACACCCAGACCTCCTCGCGTCGTGAAAAAATCACGACGGGAGGTTTTTCCCTATTTTCGGCCTCCGGGGGCCCTCACCGGGCTTCGGGAGCGTCAAAAAACGACTCAGGACGAAGAACCAGTCCCGGGGAAGGGGTCCAGACCTCTGGGGGTCGACGTTGTGAAAAAGTCACGACGTCGGGGGTCTGGGCACGTTGTTCATTGCTAGTTATTCGAGAAGATCTTGATTTTTTTGGGGGGGGCAAGGTCCTCTCATGTCTGGTTGTTGTTCCGTCCAGGGCCTCTTCCTGGCCACCAGGGGGGCAGGAACAGTCAGGAGCGAGCACAGTCAGAGATGAGCACGATAAGAAATGAACGACGTGTACTCTGGATGGGGCAGTCATCGCCTCCCCCCCCCCTTGAATCCGTTGGGGGGGTTGGGCACGTGCTGTCGGCACGGGTGGAGGGGGGGTCGGAGGAAGAGGAGGAGGAGGAGGGGGAGGAGGACGGAGGGGGGCGGGATTGGGCAAGCTCGGTCGGAAGGTTTTAATCCTCACCCTGGAGAAGTGCCCCATCCAGAGTACCGTGAAAGCCGGTGGGTCCCCGAACGGCGTGGTAGCCACACCGTGCGGTGAGCCCGTGGGGATTCGGAGGGGCCCCACGGCCGGGGGGCCCGGGTCCTGCTGCGAGGATACCTCGGGCGGTTGGGGGCCGCCAGGGCCCCACGACTACGCGGCGACCGATCGTGCGGTGAGGTCTCTTGGGAGTTCGAGGGTCACCGCAGGGACTGCCACCGCACGGCGTTGGGCCCCCCGAGCGCCAGGGTTTTGACCACCCTCCGACTCGTGGACGGGGCGGCCCTCTCCTCCTCGCCTCCGCCCCGAGGGAGGGGAGGTCTCCCTGGCTCCCTCTGG